GGTAGAGCACTAGCCTTGAGCTGAAGAGCTGAGGGACAGCGCCCAGACCCAGAGTTCAGGCCCCACGACCGGACCCCCCCAAAAAAATCAGTGAGACTCTCATTTTCAGTTAACCCTCAAGAAGCCAGAAGTGGCACTGTGGCTCAAGTAGAGAGGCCAGCCTTGAGCTCAGGGACATTGCCCAGGCCTTGGTACCAGCACCAAAGTAAAGTCCCCCACAACTAAGAATTCACACTATCTGGGGGCAAACTGGAAGGCAAGGCACACTCAGGACCCGTACTTAGTATGGCCCGCTGTGGCCTCTGGCAGTGCTGGACAGCCCAATATTTATTGCAACCCTATATTTATTCCGGTGTGTGTCTGTTGGATGGAGAGGGGGCGGCCCTTCAGGGCAGATCTAGCAGAGCAGGTGGCAGGAGTCTGAATGGGCACACCCAACTTTGGCAATGCTCTCTGCCAGCTCTCTGCAGGCCTGCCACCTGGTGGCAGGAGGCAGACATTGCGGTGGATGGACACCTAGGCTCAGGGTGTGGTCTCTGTGTGTACACGCGTTGGTTGCTTTCTGAAGGTTTTGTGGATTTGTGTATTTTAACCTGTCACATTTGCTCACAATTCTCCATATTATGTGAATATGTGTGCACCAGTCTGTGGACATGGGGTGTGTGTGCATGTCTGAAGTAGGGAAACAGAAAGCTTTGTGCCTGTGTGTGATGTACTAGATGTGTGCATAAATCGGCACAAGTCTGTTCGTGTGCCTTGCAGTCCTATGCACACTGTATGTGCACATGCTGAAGTGTGCACTACTGGATGTGACTAGGTGAGAACAATGAATACTGTTCAGGGTGCATGTGGGTTTTGTGGGGCAGGGTATATATAAGAAGGTATGTATATGTGTGTAGAATGTACATGCACAAGCCCCCTCCCCGTGTTTAAGGGCAGGATTCAGGAAGGAAGGCCTGGCAGACTGGTTCCCTCCTCTCTTCCCATCTGGCCCACTCACCTCGGGGAGGGCGTCGGTCCTTGATGCTGGAATGGCTGGACGAGCAGGAGTCATAGTTGGAGAGTGTGCTGGTGGGCGAGCTGAGGTCGAAGTTTGTTGGCTGGACTGACATGGTGGTGTTGGGCGAAGACATGCCAGAGTCAGGCTGCCTTGCCTCCAGCTCTGTGGATGGATCTCGGGACAGCACACGGTGCTCCACGCTCTGAAGGGGAGTCAGAGGAGCCGTGAGGGCCACCAGGCAGCCCACAGACCAGCGCCTACCCAACGAAGGTCCTGCCCAGACCGTGCGCTCACTGGGTGAGCTCAGCTCAGCCATTTCCCTCTCACATCCTTTCCCTATCGGAGAGCTGCAGGGTCTTCTCAGAAGCCTTGAGCCCAGCTTCCCCAGCCACAGAACCTGAAGTCTCAGGAAACCTCTCTCAGACCCCTCCCTGCTCAGGTAGGTTGAGAAAGGGCCCTAGGCTGAACCTCCAAAGTGGAAACAGCTAGGCACCAGGCTCTTCTTCCCTATCAGTAGGCAGAAGGCCTCTGCTCCAGTGCTTCTGTGGGCAGAAGGCTCAGGGGCTGCAGTGGGTTAGGGAAGAGGCCAGGAAGACTCAGCCCCGATTGCCTAGTTGAAAGCTTTTCCACCCGGACCGGCCCTGAATCTGCCAATTCCCAACACTAGAACATGGTCCGATTGCGTTCTGGTAGGCCCCTAGGAAAAGGGTGTGGCCAGAGTGGTCTAGCTGAGCTGCGATGGGCAGTACCCCCTTCCAATCAGTCTGCCTAGCCTGTTACCCTCCCTCCCCCTACGACTCTGGCTGGGGCAGGCTGGGGCAGGGGCTCTGCTTACATTGCCCATGTTGTCCCTTTCGCCGCCGGTGAGCCTGCTTGCTCTGCTGCCTCCTGCCCAGATGTGACTCCTCCCTGCCCCATGCCCCTCCCTGCCTGAGAAGTGTCACAGGCCCCTCGGGAGAGGGAGGCAGCCTGGTACCAGGTAACGGCTCTCGGGCGGCTGCGCTCATTGGCCCTGTAATTAGGGGCTCTTCGGGAGTGTTTGCCTTTTCTGGGCCAGCATCCTTGGTGGCTTGGATCTGTCATTGCTGCAGCTGGGCCTTGCTTGGGTGAGGGGACCAGCTGCCCCCGGCTACCCCACCTAGTTCAGGCCCTGCTGCCCACTCCATGAGCCCAGGGGGAGCCTCAGCACATGACTTGTGGGCAGGCTGAAGGCTCTTTTCTTGGCCAACACTGCTGGGCACTGAGGGCATCCAGTCCTGTCCTCTTGGGTGACAGATGACAGAGGCTGGGACATAGGAGCTCCAGTCTGGGACAAGGGCTTCAAATGTCCTCTTCCCCACTTACTTAGCTGTGTGACCTTCAACACATGGCCTGCCCACTCTGTGGATGAATAATTGTGCTCCTTGCCCCGTGACTGTCAAAAACCGACAATAATAATTTAAAAGTGAGTGCCACCCATGGTACCCAGGAGAGGATTAATTTTATGGTAAAGATGAGGTCACGTTTGGAAGTGGCATCTGCCAGTCTGATGTATGGCGCTGGCACTGTATGATGGCCAGCAGTGGCAGCCTGGTAGGCTCTAGAAGGTGCTGGAAGGCCCTGGGCTCTGATCCACCTCTTGCAGCCACAGTACTGATACAGATTCTCCAAGCTGGAAGGAAGCCATCTTGGGTGCAAGGAAGAGTTTTTATAACTTCCACTGGGTTTTACACGCAGTGACTGGGTGCTCACTACCTGTGGACCACTAACATTCTGGGGGAGACCCTTTTGGGAAGGAAGTCCATCCTCTGGTCTGTCTGCAGCCTCTGACCTCAGGACTTGCAGAACCCAGAATTAGAGTCATCCCCATGTGTTGGCTGGGGCTAGAGGCCATCAGCCTACTACCCTCCAGGCCTCACTTAGAAGTGTGTCCCAAGGGGCTGGGAAGGTGTCTCAGTGGTAGAGCGCTTGCCTTGCATGCCTGAGGCCCTGGGTTCGATTCCTCAGTACCACATAAGCAAAAAAGAAAAAAGCCGGAAGTGGCGCTGTGGCTCAAGTGG